GTGTTGCACATAATGTTCATCATTCTGATGTTTCACTTTGATTTTATATCATGCACTTGTGTCTCTTTTTGATCTGACATGCTGCAGAAACACAGTGTTTTGTCATGGTGTTTCAGCAGCCATTCATTCAATAAAACATCTCTGAAGTCTATTAGTGGGTCTTAGTTTAGATCCCTTGCATTAGGTTCTCTGGCCTGCCAAGAAGACAGACAATTTAATGAACAAAAATGGAAGAAGATAAAGCAGATTTTAAGGAAAGTCCATAAGGAGTTTTCTGAATTCTGCAGTTAGGCAGACTTAAATTTGACTCGCAGCAACTCTTTGGGGACATTCTTGAGGGGACCTTGGGAACATCTCCTGTCTCACCAGGGTGCAGGAGGATTAAATGAAAGAGAGATATGAAAGACCTAACCATTGTGCAGTGAGGAATATGGGTGGTCTCTTTCTTGAATGGCATTTGAAGCAATTGCCAAGTCACATAGGCCACATTGTGGGATGTGGTGATAATTCTGGTCCTTTATTGTGCAGAGAGTCAGCAGGGCAGCTTAAAACTATGGTTCCATCCCTAGAAACCCTTGATGCAGCAGATCAGGGTTGGATCACAGGAATCTGCATTTTTAACAAGCATGGAAGATAATTCTGATGAAAGTAGGATTACACTTTGGAGGCTGGGTGTAGGCCAAATCTCAAGACTTTTTTGGGATCCGGAGGAAATTCAATCATTTGACCCTGAAACTTAAATAACCTGGGTGAGTGAGTTTTTGTGGTTCGTCTTTTATCAGTAGTCATTATGAGGATCTAAACATTGACCACAAAATTCTACTTGAGAAAAATCATTTAAGAATAGCTCTGTCTGATTAGGTAAATATACTAATTTGTAAAATACGTGCAGCACTTATAAGTACTGTATTAGTCTGTTCTCATGTTGCTATGAAGAAATACCTGAGACTGGGTGATTTATAAAGAAAAGAGGTTTAGTTTGACTCACAGTTCTACATGGCTAGGGAGGCCTCAGAAAACTTACAGTCATGGTGGAAGACACCTCATCACAGGGCAGCAGGAGAGGAAATGAGTGCCAGTAGGGGAAATGCCAGACGCTTATAAAACTCAGTCACCATCATGAGAACACCATGGGGGAAACCATTCACTTTCCTCCAACCATGTCCCTCCCATAACACATGGGGATTACAATTCGGATTACAATTCAAGATGAGATTTTGAATGGGGACACAGCCAAACTCTATCAAGTACCTTACCAAAAGTGAGCCTAATATTTGAAATAAGTAAAAATAGAAGGAACTCCATTAAGTAGAACATATCAATCTGTATAGTTAATAAATTTTGGATGTTTCTTTACCAAAAGAAATAAGTATTTTGAGACCAGACCTAACACACAAGAACCATTCTGCATCATCTTCCCTGTAATTCAATCTGGATGCCATTAATGAGAGTGCTCTGGCTAATCTTAATTGTCATGATAGTATGAGGAGATGTGATATATAAGATATTCAAACCATGTGGGGTATATTATTAAGAATCATTGTTAAGTAAGAGGATGAAGTGAAACAGAATGAAATAGATCAGGCATCCAGTCTTGGGATTTCCTGTTGTTAGTGCTAGAATTTTTACTTTTTATGTTAAAAATGCAGCATACTTAATTTTTCCTCTGACACTTATACAATACAATTTATATATACATATATATCCATGTACATGCACATACACATACATCGAGCCATATTTGATGACCAAAAAGGGAGAGGCCCCAAGGGCTCTTTGGTGTGCAATTAATATTTTGGCCAGAAAATCAGCAGATTGTTTCAGTATGGTTATGTGTTATGACATCATATTCCAGTAAAGTTGTAATGAACAGAAATTTTGTTTGTCTCTGTGGCAAACCAAAATGAGTTTTGTAATTGTCAGCAGGCCTTAGTGATTATAGTGGCGCCCACTCCCTCTACTGTAGTTAAAGGTCTGTTAGCATTTCAGTTGTGGACCTTCTATTTTCAGAAGTTTATAATTAATTGTAAACATTTGCTCTGTGGTGAAAGTTTGCCATATAAGATCTCAGTTCAGGAGTAAATTTCTGATTTCAAGTTGTCTGTTTTAAAGTTTTAAAATAGAACCAGTTAAAAATAAACATAAGTTTATAAACAAAAGTTACAAATGAACAAAAGTTCTGTGGAGGTGGGAAAATTGAATTTAGTGAAACACAAAGTAAAGATGAGCAGCATTGCTCATATAGTCTGTCAGGTTTCTGCATTAAGGGGATTAAAATAAATTTCTGCATTAAAGGGATTAAAATAAAATAGATGATAGGAAATTGTGCACTTCAGTACACTATTTAGTTATCGTAACCAAAAAAAACAAAAAAGATTGTGATTTTTTAATGCTATTTAGTCTTTGCATGTTAAAATACCATGATTTTTAATTTAACTTTTTATATTTGCTAATTAAAGAACATATGACATATAATGAAAACATTTAAAATGCTTTATCTTAATTTAATAGAAAACTATAGTTAAAGAAAATTTAAGTGTTTTAAACATTGACTGTTTCTTTTTTTCATGCTCTGAATTCCTCCCCTTCTCTTGACTCTGTTAATTACTCCTGTCCCTGACATTGTGTTGTAATTTTTCTTCTAACTTTGACCCCTTTTCATCTCCTTCACTGCTGTCTATTGTTTCCCTAGCACTTTGATCATAGGCATTAATCAGTTCTTACCCTTAGGCTCCTTTTTGATTCCTTTACACTTACCCTTTCCAGGTGCTTATCCACTTGCATGGTTTCAATTATTGCCTTGCAAATCTGCATCTTCAGTACCAATCAATGTTTCTAGTTACTCACCTTCAGTAAACCTTCATTGATTAGTCCCATCTGCCTAGTGAATTCCTACATGATGGGCTCTTTCCAGTTTATCTCAGGTTGAATATAGAGTGTCACTACTTGGATGTCCAGTAATTATCTAAAATATAGTAGGACCTCAGCTGCACTTCTTTTTGCTTGGAAACAAACATTTTTTAGCACTGGAGTTAAAAATCGCTCCAGTGATTTTTCAGCATTACAATTGTAAATCCACCATTTCATCAAAATCGATTCTGTTTATTTTGCTAAGTTGCTCAATTCAGTGGTCATATTTCTCAGTTCTCATTTTACTTGACCTGTTAGTAGCATTAGATACAATTAATCCCTCCCTTCTCCTCGACAGACTTTTTTCCTGTTTGGCTTTCAGGAAGGATGTTGTGCTTGCTTGGCTTTTCTCCTATCACACCCTCCCATGCAGTTCTCATTGTTTTATGCCTTTAAATACCACCTATATTGGTGATTCCCAACTTTTTTCTCTATCTTGGACCTCTTTCCTGAAGTCCAGACTAATAAATTCAGTTGTCCAGTTAACATCTACACTTGGATAGCTGATAGGCCTAATAATTGAACATCTCCAAAACAGAGCCGCTGAAATCCACCCCCAGCAAACCCATTTCTTTTGCAGTCTCACTGTCTCAATAGATGGGTACTCCATTTTCCAGTTACTTAGTTCCAAATCCCTGACGTCACCCTGACTTCCCTCTCATATTCCATAGCCAGTCTTTGGGTAAACCCATCATCTGTACTTTCAAAATTCGTCTAGAAACCATCACTTCTCGTTATTTTCATTGCTATACTCTAGTTCAGGCCACAGTCACCTTTCCCTTGGATTATCTCAGTAGCCTAGTAGATAATCCTTGCCTCCAGCATTGTTCCCCTAGAGTGTATCTTCAGAATAGTAGATGGTTATTCTCAAAGGTAAGTCAGATTATGTTACTTCTCTGTGCAAAATCTTACAGTGGCTCGTCATTTCACTCAGGGTTAAAGATGCTTACTTACAGCCATCTGTAGGGAAGGCCTTATGGAAATCTGGTTACCAGTTCTCATCTCCTAGTTTTTTATTTCCTCATTTTCTAAACTTTTGCCAGACAGGCCTCCTCCGAGTTACTTGAACGTGCATGGCACACTCCTGCCTTGCTGCCCTTGCTACTGGTATTCTCTTTGCTTCGCAAATACTGTCCCAGATCCCTCATGGCTTGTTTGTTCCCTCACTTAACTTCAGGTCTTTACACAATTGATATTTTCTCAAGGGAACCTCTCTTGTCCACCCTATCTAAAACCTACCTCCCTGACACCTTTGAACCCTTCCCTGTTTACTTTTTCATACATCTATCTCTAATATACTAGATAATTCTACATATTTATCTTATTGTTTATCTTTCCTACTCTAATGTGTTTTTGTTCATTGCCATAGTCCCCTCTCATACAGAAGACACTCCATAAATAATTGTTGAATTAATGGATTTTATTACATATCTTCTTAATTTTTTCTCCTTCATTTCTTCTGGGTTTTTCTTTCTTCTTACCACCTTTGCTATTTCTTCATATCTGCATTATTGCAGCTTTTTAGTCATGCATCATTACCTCAGTCACTGTAAAATGTATGAATACAGCACTCCCTGCTTAAGAATTGGCCTAAACTCCTTATCCTTATGCTGAATCTACTCTCCTTATTACTTTGCATTGTACTCAGTCCATTTCTCTGCCCCTGTATTTCTAATCATAATTGTCTTCTGCAAAAAAGCCCAGTAATCTACATGTTGTCACCTGAACAGTCTTGCCTGTCCCAGACTCTGTTGTAGCTTCACCAGACCATTCGCTTACTTCTGTCAAAATCTAACTGAAAACTTCTCACCAGGAAGTCTGCTGTGATGATATGATTAAATAATTTTTACTGTATTGTTTTATGTTTAATGTTGTATTCTATATATGTTTTTCATGGAGATCAGGATAAGCTATTATCTGTAGATGTATCGACTCACATTTTATCCAAAATGTATATTTTTGAGGTTAAACTTTTATTAAGAGTATAGTACATTATATAATTGGTATCATTTTAAACAAAATAGATTTTGTGAATCATTATAGAATGGTTTTATTTAACTAACTTTAATGTTTTTATTTTCTTATTTTAGGTATCATTGCCCAATGCCTAAGATCTTTTACGTTCAGCTCACTGTAGGAAATAATGAATTTTTTGGGGAAGGAAAGACTCGACAAGCTGCTAGACACAATGCTGCAATGAAAGCTCTCCAAGCACTACAGAATGAACCTATTCCAGAAAAGTCGCCTCAGGTGTGGCGCTGCTGCATGTGACAGTCTCTTCTTTAAACTTTCCCAGTGAGATTATTGGGAAGACAAATCCGTGCATTTTATAATTAAAATAAATAATCTGTTCTGATAGGGAAGAATATTAGAGTGAAGACCTGCTAAGATTTGCGTCTCAGATGGTCTTCTATAACTGACTCGTGTTCCTGCAAGATGACTTTACCTTTGGTTCCTCCCTTGCATTCACTTCCCAGGCAGCTGGGGATTTGGGGATGTATATGATGATGAGAAATAACATTGATTTGCCTTACATTTTATACTGTGTCTATTGCATATGGATTACATTGTGTGAATCTAGAATCAAGGATTAAAGTGGAGGAGATTTTATGGATTTTTCAGTCCTCCTTTGTTTTACAAATGAGGATATTGAGGCTATTCTTGAGTAATCTCAGTCATTCTCATGGCTTCAGCTACTTTCTCGATTGACTCCAAAACAGTATCTCTAGTTCAGGCATGTCCTATACATAGTACAGTGAGCTTCTTACTGGACTTTTCCACTTAGTTATTTCAGACTCTACAATTCAGCCTCTACAGTTTTCCTTTCTCCAAACCGATTGATTATTTCTCCTTTGACATTTATCTTAATGGATAGATTATGATAGGTATGTTTCTGCTTGTACTCTTTCATGAGAGCTCCTATTTCTTTACCTGTTTTCCCACTAGATCATACACCTCTTGACAGCAGGAATACTGTCTCTAATAGTTATAGTAGGTTCAGCATGCATGAGGCCCTCCAGAAGTATGTGTTAAGTGAATAAAGTAAACCGATACCTGTGCCAGACGTAGAGTTCCAACTAGGATGCTCTTGCTTTGCATCCTGTACTCTTTTTGTAACTTCATCCTCATAGAGCACGTTAGAACACCAGTGGAGGAATTCTTGGGTGTTGGGGATTGGGGGGTAGAGAACTCTAAAACAAGAGAGCCAGGTCTAGGGATGTAGGCTAAACTCAAATAAGTGTATGGTTGTAAAAGATTTCCAAAGTTTGCATTAAACGCTTTTCCTTCAAGGAAAACAAACTAAAAACAAAACCGAATAACAGAAAGCCTGGCAGCAAAGCCCTTGAGTACTGTGGTTACAGGAGAATGTCGCAGATACAGCCTATAGTTTGTTGTTTCTTCTTGTATTTTAAATAGGCCATCTTGACTGTAGAATAAACCTAAAGTTGTTATAACGGCAAGATTCAGTGTTATCCTGTTTTTTTGTGATTTAGAATGGTGAATCAGGAAAGGATATGGACGATGACAAAGATGCAAATAAGTCTGAGATCAGCTTGGTGTTTGAAATTGCTCTGAAGCGAAATATGCCTGTCAGTTTTGAGGTATGTACTTGGTAGAGATCTTCCCATTTTTTCCCCCTGCTCTGTTTATTTTAAACAAATCAAATTAACTGGTATACTAGTATCCTGTAAGAGTTAATGTGCTTCTATATGTTCAAACTCAGTATTATGAAATGATCTAGGCTGTGGTGAAAATAGGAATCATGATGATATCACAGATTTCTTCTGATTTTTCTTTCTTTTCTGTATTAAGCCTTTGTACACATGATATTTCAATTTTAATTATAAAAGTTATTTTCTGGGTAAAAGATAATTTGTGGTACCCTGTAGATTTTGTTTTTTGTTTTGAGATGGAGTCTTGCTCTGTCGCCCAGGCTGGAGTGCAGTGGTGCAATCTTGACTCATTGCAACCTGTGCCCCCTAGGTTCAAGCGATTCTCCTGCCTCAGCCTCCTGAGTAGCTGGGAGTACAGGCATGTGCCACCATGCCCCGCTGATTTTTTTTTTGTATTTTTGGTAGAGACGGGGTTCTACCATGTTAGCTAGGATGGTCTCGATCTCCTGACCTTATGATCCTCCCACTTTGGCCTCCCAAAGTGCTAGGATTACAGGCATGAACCACCGTGCCAGGCCAGGATTTGGTCTTTTAAATAGGATTAAATTAAATTTATTCAAGTTACTAGTAAACCTAAATTACTTGGAAAGTATGCTTATGATAAATTCCTTCTCCCTAATAATGTTGCATTATTGAGATTTGGTAGTACTTTCATTCCTTTTCCTAATTGGAATCCAATATTAGAAGACAAAATTTCAGTGTAATGTTAAATAGTAAACTACTTTAATAGGGTATCTTGTATAAGTCAGAATTTTGAAGGACACTAAAAGTTTTGAGTCTTCAGGTTTTGGAAGGCATATTTCCTCCAAAAGCTGGCATAGTTTAAAAAGTGAGAGCAGATTAAACAAGGTTTAGGAACATTACATTCATAGCTGACAGATCTGTAACTCATTACTCTAGGAGCTAGGTATTTTTGGCATACCTACTTATCTTTTTAAAATCATGTCACAAGAATAAATATCCCTTTCTGTAAAACAGCCTTTGCCATCTCTATCAAAAACAGCTTGTTTTTCATCCATCAGCTGTTTTTGAGAGGCTTCCACAGGCATGGTGCCTTATGGTTTATAGAACTACAAGTTTCTCCAGTAACTTACTCATACATAGGAGAAAGTTAGGTATGTCTGTAATTGTATACAAACTCTCATTCTAGATGGCCAGTCTAACACCGTATCTAATGATATGTTTGATATTCTTAAATTTGTGCTTCCTAAGACATGGAAAAACTATAATCAGAATTGTCAGTTTTAAAGTAATAAAAAATCATTTTGACTATGAATCAAATGTGTTTATTTGGATTTCTTCTGTCTCAACTGCATTTAGCATTGTGTCATAAATAAATAGTCCCAGTATAATACCTTCATAATAGCTTTCTTAAAGAAATACTATAATTTTGGGATAATACCAATTTTGATTTTGGTATGAATATTAAATCATTCTATGAGAATACATCTGAAGTGCCTATACATTATTTAATATTTTACTCATATTTATTAGGTTATTAAAGAAAGTGGACCACCACATATGAAAAGCTTTGTTACTCGAGTGTCAGTAGGAGAGTTCTCTGCAGAAGGAGAAGGAAATAGCAAAAAACTCTCCAAGAAGCGCGCTGCAACTACCGTCTTACAGGAGCTTAAGAAACTCCCACCTCTTCCTGTGGTGGAAAAGCCAAAACTATTTTTTAAAAAACGCCCTAAAACAATAGTAAAGGTAAGTTTATATTTGTGAACATCAGTCAGTTTTACTAAATAAATATTATAGTAGCTAAAGATAAGCGTTTTTCTATAAGGCAGGTCCCTGAACTTAGGGATTATATATAGTCCTGAAATCAGGGCAGGACATGTGACTCTAAATTAATGACAATTCTGTTTTGCTTTTTAGACACCTGTTTTACCTGCATTTGTTCATCAAATAATTATAATACCTTAGATATTTATAGTGTTTTTTTTGTTGTTTAAAAAGTGGTTTTCCATTTATGTCACCTTAATCTTCATGACCATGTAAGGTAAATGATGTTAGCCCTCATTTTACAAAAAAGATTTTGTAAAACATGTTCAAAGGGTTTGCTCATTTTTTTTTTTTTTTGAGGCAGAGTTTTGCTCTTGTTACCCAGGCTGGAGTGCAATGGCGTGATCTCTGCTCACCGCAACCTCCGCTCACCGCAACCTCCACCTCCTGGGTTCAGGCAATTCTCCTGCGTCAGCCTCCTGAGTAGCTGGGATTACAGGCATGTGCCACCATGCCCAGCTCATTTTTTGTATTTTTAGTAGAGACTGGGTTTCACCATGTTGACCAGGATGGTCTTGATCTCTTGACCTCGTGATCCACCCACCTCGGCCTCCCAAAGTGCTGGGATTACAGGCTTGAACCACCGCGCCCGGCCGGGTTTGCTCATTTTTAATTCAGCAATCGTTATCAAACCACCTGAACTGCTCTGATCTCTAATCCAGTGTTCTTTCTGCACGCAAGGCTGTTACATAGTAACTTCTTAGGATATCATGAAATTTAAACAGGATACAAAAAAAAACATATGAATAATATAATGAGACTAGCTACAGCAACTGGAAATCGTAAAGCACTCCATCTGCCAGACTTTGTCCCAACACTTTGCTTTAGTCATATTTTATCCACATAGCAACCATATGAAGTAGATGGTGTTATTTTGTTGTCATTCGTTCAGATGTGTATACCTTGCCAAAGAAGAATATGGAGAATACAGCTTTTTAAGATATTATGACTCTTTCTTTTATTGGATCAGAGTTTATTCACATTAATAAGAGAAAAAAGATAAATATCAGAGGAATGAGATGAATCAGCATTTAAAATAGGACAGTGTCCATGAATGCTTGACACGTATGACATGTGTGGAGTTAGAGTTCTGTGTTTCTAGAGAAAGCCTTAAATTGCCAGCATTTCAGTTGCTGGCTCATCCTCACTGATTTAGCAGACTTCTGATTAGACTGTACAAACAAAGGATTACAGATAAGAAATAAATTTAGTCTCAATGATTTCTTTTATTTTGATTGCACAGTGGCACAATTGAGGTGTTTTTACAGTTTTATACCTTTGTACCTTTGTTGTATTTAAAAACACCTACATGTGTACATATAAAAATAACTACTTAAATACTTGTTTGTAATGAATACTGACATTACTTCACTTAGAAGATATAGTAGGTAATGCGTTCCCTGAACTGGCATTATATATTATATGTAAGGTAGACTAAAAATAAATGCAAATAGACTCACTTATTATGAGTAATAGTGGTTCCCAAGAGGACTGGTGCTTTCATTTCAGATGCTCTTCTTATACAGTCAGGGAGTAGAATATAGCTATTAAGAGAATGACCTTTGGAGTCAGTTTTGAGTATTAATCCCTGAGCAAGTTACCTAACTTTTAAAAATATTTATTCATTTATAAAGTGGGAATAATAATTGACCTTGCTACATGGGATTGTATTAACTATACAGTTAATACAATAAGTGTAAGTATTAACTAAAACAATACACAAAATGCATTAGTAATTATTAAGTATTCATTGTTATTAGTGATAATGCAACTACTGTAATAAGTAATACATATTAGCTATTGGTATTTTGTATCTAATACTGTGTAAACTGTTTTCTTAAATCTATTAATATATAAAATCTTTGGCCTTTCTATAATGGAAGAACAGCATTTTATGTTGGAATGGTGGCCCTAAACTGGTCACAATAACTTCCATCTAATCTATTAAACTAAGTCTTGATAAATTAAGAATAATAAAGCAGGCTGGATGTGGTGGCTCACACCTGTAATCCCAGCAATTTGGGAGGCTTAGGCAAGTGGATCATTTGAGGCCCGAAGTTTGAGACCAGTGTGGCCAACATGATGAAACTTCATCTTTCCTAAAAGTTCAAAAATTAGGTGGCTCTGGTGGCACGTGCCTATAATCTTAGCAACCGCTCAGGAAGCTGAGGCACAAGAATCACTTGAACCTAGGAAGCGGAGGTTGAAGTGAGCCGAGATCACTGCCACTGCACTCCAGCCTGGGAGACAGTGAGATTCTGTCTCAAAATAATTAATAATAATAATAATAATAATAACAACAACTATTAGGCTAGAAAAGATCTGTACATTTCTATAGTAGCATATAAATCTAACTCTTGTTTTAACTGTAGCTATTAAAAGCAAGATGATAATTTAAATGTTATTCCCTAGAGGCAGGAGAGAGGAGAAACATTTTGAATTCTTAATTATTTGCTACTGCTTCCAGTATATAAGCAATATTATCCCAGAATTTCCGTCCTATGCATCCTTTAGATCACAGCGTAAATTTGACCTTTTTAGGTCCTCTCCTACTCCCTGACTAGGTTAGCCTTCTGCATTTTCCCTCACATACACCACATTTGGAGTTACTTTTGCCATGTCTGTCTTTTGTTAAATCCTGTAGATACCCTCTGAAATGTAAGATTGAGAGAACAACATGTGTATAATGAGTTGGGATCTAGATAATTTTAAGTATGTTCACACTTATAATGTGCCAGTAAATGGATCAGCTTGGAGTAGTCTCCTGACTTTCAGCATTGTCCTCACTTCCTTATATGGCGTATGCATCAAGGGTGTATAGTTCCTTATACTCAGTGGAAGCAGAGAAAAATATCTATGATGGTTTGCCTTGGTTTTATTTAAAGTAAATAAAACAATCACTTTGTCTCAGTTGATTCTCTTAATCACTCTGTAATGTAGCATTCATTTCTGCTTTACAGATGAAGTCCTTTATATTTAAGAAAACTATCCAAGATCCTGTAGCAGAGTCAGCTTTCAAATCCAGTTGTCATGTCTGACTCCAGTGCCCATTTGACACTGGTTAATTGTGGACTTCTGGATTTTAAGATTCACTGTATAGGGTTATCCTGTTAACATGTACAACTGCCCTGATAATATCTTTGTGTTTACATTCTGTTTTTTAAGTGTAATTCTCTATAAGACGAGACTTCAAACAGAGCTTTCCAATCTTGGAGATCAAATGTTCTGGACACAGTTTTTACAAGACTGTCCTTATTGGTATATAGAATGATAGAAGATTTGCTGTCCAAGGAATAACTTAATTGTCAAGGGTGCTGGTAGTTCATTTCAGTCAGAGCAAGAAACCAAGTCCCCCCACCCCCACTTTTTTTTTTGAGACAGGGTCTCACTCTGTGTCCCAGGCTGGAGTGCAGTGGCATCATGATCTCTGCTGACTACAACCTCTGCGTCCTGGTTCAAACGATTCCCCCATGTCATCTCCAGAGTAGCTGGGACTAGTCATGTGCCACCACACCCAGCTAATTTTAGTATTTTTTGGCAGAGATGGGGTTTTACTATGTTGCCCAGGCTGGTCTTGAACTTCTGACCTCAAATGATCTGCCTGCCTTGGCCTCCCAAAATTGTTTTTTTGTTTGTTTGTTTGTTTTTGAGACAGGGTCTGACTCCTGTTGCCCAGGCTAGAGTGCAGTGGTACTGTCTCGGCTCACTGCAGCCTTGATTTTCTGGTCTTAGGTGACCCTCCCAGCTCTGGAACTACAGGCACAATACCACCATGCCCAACTAATTTTTTGTATTTTTTGTAGAGACAGGGTTTTGCCATATTTTGCAGGCAGTCTCAAACTCCTGGGCTGAAGTGATCTGCCTACCTCATGCTCGAATTACAGGTGAGAGCCACTGCGCCCAGCCCCAAACCATTCTTGATGTATGCAGAATTCCATCACTATCTAAATGGATTTGTGTATCTGCTTCTTTGTCTGTGGAATCTATATCAACAATAATTTTCTTGGAACTCAAAGACATTCTTAGAGTCAAATTAAACAGAAATAAAGACAGTATGCCACTGGAAACATCTTCATGAACTGGGCATACTACTTCTAGTGCTGGACTCAGAGCTCCTCTCTTTACCTTTTCATTGGCATCTCAATCTTAGACTTATAAATTAAGTGGATTTGTCTTTTCTCATCAGTCCTTCTTCATTCCCTTTATAATTTATTTAATTTTTATTTTTCAGGATACAAGTAGAAATTGAAACCAGCATTTTATCAAAAGCTAAAAGTTTCCTTTTGCTCTTTCTTTTCCCTTCATTTAACCATTGCAACAGTGAAGTTCTCAAGTCTTTTTCCTCTTACTCTTTCCCTAAGCTGTTCTTCTACTTCTAGGTGTTCAATTCCATCTTTATGTAGATGATTCCCAAATACTCTATGTTCTATGCTGCCTATTACACATCTCCACTTACTGTTTCACAGGTGCATCAAATTTTAGCCCAAATTCATCATGTTCTCTTCTAAACCTCTTTCTTCTGCAGCATTCTTTATCTCAGTGACTGGCACTAACATCTAGCTGCAGAAACTGCTGGAGATCATTTTTAACTACTACTTCTTTTTTTTTTTTTGGAGATGGAGTTTTGCTTGTTGCCCAGCCTGGAGTACCATGGCGCAATCTTGGCTCACGGCAGCTTCTGCCTCCTGGGTTCAAGCAATTCTCATGCCTCAGCTTCCTGAGTAACTAGGCACCCACCACCATGCCGGGCTAATTTTGTATTTTTAGTAGAGACAGGATTTCATCATGTTGGCCAGGCTGGTCTCGAACTCCTGACCTTAGTTGATCCACTCGCCTTGGCCTCCCAAAGTGCTAGGATTAAAATAACATAGTAAAACTGTAAGGTAGGAAATGATCATGCAAAACTAATGATAGTGGTTGCC